CAATTCGTTAAAATTAACAGGAACACAGGCATATCTGAATATACTAGTAACAGCAGTGATCAATCATGTGTTATCTTATTTTCGGGTGCGAATGATCGGTTCACGCGAACCAGTAACTGCACATGTCTGCACCATAATGTAAACAAGTGTGACAGCCCATAATGTATAAGACATCTAACATTCATAGTAAACTTAGGTGGTCCCTACTACTGACAATTCATTTAAAACTAGGTGGCCTCCAACAAGGAAAACTGCCGAAAATAAATATATCAGTGGTAGGTTCCAGTAAAAACACACATCTAGGAGGCCTTCCTACCAGTGATGTTTCAAAAATCATGAGGAGGCCACCCAACAGTGATATATTGATATATTTCACAATTAACCTACCGAGTGGGTGGGTGTTTTTTTTTATTTTACCTAAAGACAAAGAGTGAAAGTGGCAGTGTTTTGAGTGCATGATGTCCCATATACACACCGGACCAATACATACCACAATTTATTCAACAATACAACGCTGACTAGAAATAGTACAGCAGTATGGTACCAACAATGACAATTAGAAATGACCAACAGATAGTACTTGTTTTCATAAACTTGATAAATTTTGACAGTTAAGCAAGTAAATAAATAAATTTACAATAATTACTAAATTTTTCAAGCTTTGGAAAATGAATGTTTTTAATGTACTATTTCCCTTTTGCGATAACTTAGTCTCACTTTCAAGTGCAGCACAGCATTACTGGTAATTAATCATATTGCAGTGTTACTTTTTGAGAATGCACAGAATGCAAAAACATTTTATTTTACTCGCACCAAGGACAGTTTTAGATGAATTTATCTGTATAGACACCCGTACTTAACTGCCGTAAAGAAAAATTGATTTCACTGAACTGTCAAAAAGTCGCCACATGCATGCATAGAGTTTGTAATAAATCATGATAATTTCAAAGTGTTAATGATCAAACACGACTTCCAATGCATGATATGTTCAGGATTATTACATCATATGCATTTCTGAGATTGACAGAAAATTTAAACTTGATTCCTGTTGTAGGTGGCAATGGCATTGTAATGACATTCCCATAACTTCGTCCACTACAGATGTTAAGGTATTGCTTGGGTGTCTCAGAGTCACAATCAAAGTCAATAAAGTCAGTTATTTTCACAGCAGCAGGATTAGAATCTTACGTAGATATAAGTGGAATGTCGCATAAATTCTTGACATTAGTGGAGTGGCATACAGCGAGTAGAATGTAACAAAATTTAAGCATTAGTGAAGTGCCGTATAGCCAGTGAAACACTGCATAGATTCTAGGCATTAGTGA